AGTTTTTTGTCACTACTGTAAATTTCCCGGGTGGACTGGGTTTGGCCCTGGAAGGAGGGCATGGCGGGAGCCCTGCCCCTCCAGGCGAGATGGGGTTGGAGACCTGGGAGCAGCCTGAGCCGAGTGCCTTCCTCACACACCTCCGTGCTCCTCCAGGCGAAGCAGAGCAGGCCAGCAGACGTGCCCAGGCTGCAGCTGTCTTCAGGCTTCATTTGGGACGTGGGGCTGGAATCTCTGACCCCGGCCTTGCCACCTCGAAGAGAGAGCTCAGACAGCGAGGAAGACGAGAAGCCACAGCAAACCACGGTACTGTATTTTACAGGGACCTCTTGGTGCCCGTTTCCTGTGTCTGTCCTAGCCTATGGGTGTAACTTCTGGCAGGGAGGGGTAGACTCCGATGAGAGAGTATTTATAGCGCTTGGCGATTGCCCTGCCGACTCTTGGCTTCTATCACAGACCTGCCCAGGCTCTGAGGAGCTGATTACTCACTTGTTTTTGCCTTTCATAGCAAAAGAAGAAAAGCAAGAAGGAAAGGGAGCTGGAGAAGCAGAAGGCAGAGAAAGAGCTGTCCCGCATGGAGGAGGCGCTGATGGACCCTGGGCGACAGCCAGAGTCGGCAGATGATTTTGACCGACTGGTGCTAAGCTCCCCCAACAGCTCCATCCTGTGGCTGCAGTACATGGCCTTCCACCTGCAGGCCACGGAGATCGAGAAGGCCCGGGCCGTGGCCGAGAGGGCTCTCAAGACCATCTCCTTCAGGTCTGGGCTCCGTCCCCCTGCTTCAGGGAGGGGCCTTGGGACAGGAAAGGCCTTGTCTCCCAGGTTGCAGACTGACAGCAACTGGAGTGGCTGCCACCTGGGGTTCCCGGACTCTCTCTCAGATGTGCCGTCTGTGAAATAGATCTGCTCATCTATAATTTATAGTCCTCTTCACTGTTTGCAAGAGTCTCTAACTTAAATAACGTGCCCAACTTGGAGCAGAAGTACAATAGAATAGGAAACACACCTGGGTGAAAACTCTGCGTGTGGCCATTTTCCAGGCAGAGAGTAGAGAGTGTCCCGAGGGCTGATGAAGAGGAGTGCTGATCCTTTACTTTCATTCTCTTAGTTTGGGGAGAGAAGCAGACCAGAGGTTCTGCTCCTTCCAGCTCAGCCCTCGGGCCTATTTGAGATTGGTAGGCTTCCTTCCTGGGAATGGAGGAGAGCCGCCGACTGGGAGCCCCATACCCCGCGGTCAGGGTGGGACTTCCTGCTGCTGCGAACTGCAGTGGGACAGGGCCTCTCGGTGCCTGCACTTGAGGGTGGGAGCTGAGGACATGGTTGGAGCCTGGGAGGAGGAGGATGGTTCTAGTTGACATCCCCAGAGTGGAGTGAAGGGCTCTTTGGGCTGAGATGATGGAGCTCAGGCACCGACTGCTCTCCTTCCAGAGAGGAGCAGGAGAAGCTGAACGTGTGGGTGGCACTGCTGAACCTGGAGAACATGTACGGCTCTCAGGAGTCTCTGACCAAGGTCTTCGAGCGGGCTGTGCAATACAACGAGCCTCTCAAGGTCTTCCTCCAGCTGGCTGACATCTACACCAAGTCGGAGAAGTTCCAGGTAGGGGTCTGGGCCTGGCGGCCTGCTGCCAGAGGGGCCCCAGCCACTCCGAGCCTGTCCCCTGGGGGTCACGGAGGCAGCAGGGAAGAATCTCCATGTTCTGGATCCTATTCTAGTCTTAGGGACTTCTGGGTGCCAAAGGGTTAGGAGAGAGCTCTCCATCTTGTCAGGCCTCCTCATCTCTGGGAGCCTGCGCTCTCCCCTCAGTAGCCAGAGTTGGGCCTGCATAGCAGTTGGCATCTGAGCCCAAGTCTGGCTTCTCACAGGCGGAGCTGCCGTCTTTGTTGTCGCCCCCCCTGTCGCATCACCTTCTCCAGCTTGCCTGGTCTTTCCCACAGGAAGCTGGTGAACTCTACAACCGGATGCTGAAGCGTTTCCGGCAGGAGAAAGCTGTCTGGGTCAAATACGGGGCCTTCCTTCTGCGGAGGGGCCAGGCGGGGGCCAGTCACCGGGTGATGCAGCGAGCCCTCGAGTGCCTGCCTCAGAAAGAGCGTGAGTGCCTAGCCCCACTCTCGGCCCGATTCCCGAGCACATCGGGCTCACCCATATCTGGGCACAGGGGTTAGGGGTCCCCTCATCTGAGGGTGGTGGCAGAAGCCTCGCGGCGGTTACATGGCTGTCTGTCTCAGGCACGTAATGTGAGTTGCAGTTAGCACCAATTCCATTGGCCTGGCCCCGGAGAGGAGGGTGCCTGCGGTGGGGGTCACAGGTCAGTGCCCATCTGTGTATATGGCCCTGTTCTACCCCACTGTCCCTCTTGTCACTGCCTGTGTCTTGGGACACGGGCAGGGAGTCAGGAGTCAGGCTCAGTCCCTGTGGTGCATTGTGTTGTGGTGCGGGCCCTGCCTGCTTTGTGTGTCTGAGTGTCCTCTCCCTGCAGACGTGGATGTGATCTCCAAGTTCGCCCAGCTGGAGTTCCAGCTGGGGGATGCAGAGCGGGCCAAGGCTATTTTTGAGAACACACTGAGCACCTACCCAAAGCGCACGGATGTCTGGTCAGTCTACATCGACATGACCATCAAGCATGGCAGCCAGAAGGAAGTCCGGTGAGAGGGGCAGACAGACCGGGGCTGAATTCCCTGAGGGGGTTGGGGACATCGGCCAAGCAGATGACTTTAGCAACCACAGCAGCTCCAGCTCCCCCTGTTGTCTTACTCTATCTGGAAAAACAGCTTTGACATGCCATGTCAGGTCCTATGGCATTCACTTTTCCAGCTGCTGCTTCTGCCTCGGGCCAGCCTCTGGTCAGTATCTGGACCCTTGAGTGGGAGATAGGCTGGCCACTGGCTTGGGGGTCCGGAGACTTGGGTTTCCCTCATAATTAACACTGCCTGACTCTCATTGTAGAGAATGTTCACAGGCATAATCTCACTGTTGTCCGCCAGCATCCCCACTGCCAGGGAGGATTAGAGAGGGGTAGACTGAGCTCCAGAAGGAACTAGTGCCTCCCCTCAGCCGTCAGTGAGCTTTAAGCAGAGCTTTTCTCACAGATGCATGTCTCATGTATGTTCCCTCCCACTAGCTTTGTCCTGACTTACTGCGTGACTTTAGGCCAGTAAGTCTTTTAACATCTTTGGTCTCTGTGTGCTCACCTGGACGGAAAGGGAGGTATTCTCTCGCTCTCACAGTCACACGGTGACTGACATCCACATGACGGGAGTAAAAATGAAGCTAGACGTGGTCGTGCTGGGTGACAGATGCCTGCTCCAGAGCCTGAGAGCCAGTGGAGAAGGTTAGCCAGGAGCCGTATGGGGGGCACCAAGGGGCAAATCTGCCATGCTCTCCCTCACAGGGACATCTTCGAGCGTGTCATTCACCTGAGCCTGGCCCCCAAGCGAATGAAATTCTTCTTCAAGCGCTACCTGGACTATGAGAAGCAGCACGGCACCGAGAAGGACGTGCAGGCGGTGAAGGCGAAGGCCCTGGACTACGTGGAGGCGAAGAGCTCCATGTTGGAGGACTAGCCGCAGGCTGGCTCTGGACGCCCCTGCCTCAGGGCCCAGGGGTCCAGCCTCGCCAAGCCTCAGGCTCCGGCATTGACAGCTGTGTTGCCTGGGGGCTCTATTTATGTGCTGCATTTTCTGCAGCAACTTTGGGACAATCCTATTATAATTTCATATAAATTCCTTTTTATTACTTTGTTTCAAGTACCAATTTCATTTCTCTCCTTTTCTGAGGCTGCTCAGGTTTCTCCATGGGAGTTCTCGGGAGCAGGAGTGGACGGGCTGATTCCTGACCATCTGTGGCCCTGGCAGGCTCTTGGGATTGCCAGAGGGGTCAGCAGGGCCCAGGAAGTAGGCCCCTCCTTTAGATCCGGGAGTGCCTGGGCATTCTCTTAGCCGCAGCTCAGCCTTGTGCCCTTTTATGGAGGCTGCGAGTTGGGACAGAAGGATAAGGATAGAGCACAGGAAGGAAAATGGAGGCACCTGGACAGCTGAGAGGAATGCCACCTGGTGCTGTCTCCTCAGCCACCAGGGCCAGGTGACCCCGCCTCTCCAAATGGGTGTCTCATTGTGAAATGGGGCTAAAAAGTCCTACCTTTCAGGCTTTTGTGGATGAAATGAGAGCGTGCATGTCTGTATGCTGCCTGGCAGGTAGGAGGCTCGGTGAGGACCTATACTGGTGTGCCTTGTGGCTTCAGGGAGAGCCCGTCTAGCTCCTCCGGGGAGAACGATTGCTGGGCGGAGGGCATTTATGGACCTGGTGGTTATTCCTTAAGGCCCGAGGGAGAGGCGATGTGATGGGCCCCGGCCTCCTTCATGAAAATCCCAGAAAGACGGTCTCTCTGCATCATTTGATAAGTAATGATCCAGAGATCTTGGAGGCCTGCACAGACCCAGCTGGTTGTTGAAGCCAGTTCTTTTTTGGCTCGGTCTTGAGGGAATTCATCATTTTCTTTGGCAGAGTTTTAAATGTCCTGAGAGCTAGGGAGCTTTTCCATGGGCAATGACTGAGTCATGTGCCGGGAAGCAGGGCCAGGACGAGGGAGGGCATCAAAGGTTTCAGGTGGTGGAGGCAACCAGGCAAGGTGAGCGTGGGAGGGAGGAGGAGCCAGGGCTGGCCTGGTTTGGTTATTAGCACTGGACTGTGAGAGCTAGTCTTCCCTCCTGAGTGCAGGATCTTCTGACCCAAGAAATTTAAGCTGAGCTTCCCTCTGGGGGGGACCAGGCTCCCTCTGTTTCTCCAGATCAAGTGAGATACCTGAACCCAGCGCCTAAGAGCTCATCAGCCCCAGAGCTTTCCCTCCTGTGGGAGCACCTGCCTCCCTCCTGTCCATGTGAGCCCTGCCCAGGGCCTCCCTGTCTCCTTCCCTCTCACAGGAGATGGGATTTAGGCCTGTCCCCATGATCCCCGATCTGCTGTGGCATGGCCCCCTCCAATCACATAGACAGCAAGCTAGTCCTTTATACTTAAAAAAGCTTTATCAAAAATGTAAATATATAAAATAAAGTCAGTGGCATGCATCGAAGGGCAGCTTCCCAGCTGAGCACCGTGGAGCTGGGTGTCCATAAGCAGTTAGACACAAATTAACCGCACAATATCCTACACAGCGAGCCTGCTGGCGGGTTTCACTGTCCCCTCGCTGTGCTGGCCAGGGCTTCTCCTCCTTGGAGCCCATCAGTAGAAGGTCCTCCCCAGCACAGTTAATAACTAAGGACCAGTTCTGAGTCCGCGTCTTCCCTCCCAAGCTGTTGGCCAGGTGGCTGGGGGCAGTAGGAGAGGGGATTTCTTCAGGTCGGAGAGCCTTCCTGTCACACTGACCACCTTGTGTGTTAGCTCTCTCCTCTGTACCCATTACTCTGGTTCTTTCTCTTGGTCTGTTTTCCCAGAAAGCCATGGGTAAAAGGAAAAAAAAAAACTTCTGATGCCGATGTGAGCAGACAGTGGGGTCGTCATTTGCAGAGTGTGGGAGCGGGAACCTCAGGAGACCAGCAGGGCCATCTCCACGTTGTCCGGGGCCGTGCCGTTGCCCGGCAACCCCTGGGCCCACTTGTGCAGGCGGCTGTAGAGGGGGAGGCCCTGGTTCTCCCGGTACAGGTAGACGCCGGTGATGGCATTCCACTGCGGCCGCGGCTGCGTGCCTTCCACGGGGAACTTGGCCGTCAGCTCCTCGTCGTCCTGGTCCAGGGCCACGAAGCCGAAGAAGCGGCGCACGTTGTTGGCGGCCAGCACCCGGGAGTGCACCTCGGCGGTGCGCTGGAACAGCTGCTCCTCGTTGTTGCGGTACTGCGTCCAGTAGGCCTCCTGCCGGTAGCTGAGCGGCGAGCAGTAGTGCTTGAGGCACTTGGTCAGGAACACCAGCACGGCCACCACACCTATGAGCAGCCACCCGAAGAGCTGGCCGGAGAAGGGGCAGGGTGAGGAGGGGCAAGCTGCTGTCTGGACCTCCACCCGCCCGCCCAGGTTGAGATCTGGGCTGGGCTGGCCTGAACCTGGGCCCCAGAGCCCCCTGAGAACGGGCCCTCATGTCCCTGAATAAAGATTCTGCTCCTGTAAGGGAAGCAGGTCCTTCTGGCTATAATTTTGCTGCTTTTTCCTCTCAAATTCAGTTTCTGCATTTTCTGCTGCCATTTCTCCCCCCCCCCCCTTTTTTAAAAAAATATTTTTTATTGATTTCAGAGAGGAAGAGAAAGGGAGAAAGAAATAGGAACATCAATTGGCTGCCTCCTGCACGCCCCCTACTGGGGATTGAACCAGCAACCCAGGCATGTGCCCTGACCAGGAATCAAACTGTGACCTCTTGGTCCATAGGTCAATGCTCAACCACTGAGCCACACTGGCCGGGATCTGCTGCCATTTCTCCCTTACGTCATTCCAGCCCATCAAAATCTAGATCAAATTGCCAGGCTCAGCCCAGATGCCACCTCTTGTCCTCCCTACCTCCCCCATGGCCTGGTCCTTACTCTCCGCCTTGCTTTGAAATTGCCCATGAGCTTGTCTCAAACACTCGCTTGGGTGTGAGCCTATTTCCCCATTTGCTCCGCTAGAGAGGTCTGTGGGCTTTTGATCGTCAAATTTTATTTCTGTCTTTCATCTCCCATCTCCTTTGGTGCATTTCCAACCCTGCTTCTCTGTTTGTGTTTTTATTTATGTACCTGGGAGACCTTTGAAAGAATCTTATGCTCTTCCCTGTCTGTTCCTCGCCCCCTGTTGCTCTCAGTTAATGCTTCCAGCTCAGTTTTTCTGTTTCTCCCCACGTCTCTGCTCTTCTGTCCTCTAACCAACCTTCACTCCTTCAGAACTAAGCCCAGGCTGAGGCTAGGAGCAGGGCAGCCGCTTCCTGGCTCAAAGGGCTGCCTTATGTCAGCAGCACCTGAGGCTATTTCATTCCTGGGAGAGGAACACTGGTCCCTGGAGCCAGCCACACCCCACTATCAGCTTATGGTCCCATAGCAAATGTTTCTTAGGCTTGTAGGATTTGTGCTCCTTCTGGCTGGAGAAAGGGACTTAGTCTATGACTGGGATCAAGGCTCAGTCTGAGCCAGAAGAACATTCCTTTAACATTTAAAACGTATTAGTGATGGAATTGTCCCACCAGACACTAACCCATGGGGTTACCCAGCTCTGACACCTGATGCTGCTTAGTGCTTTGCTGGAGACCTTGGCTGCTGGGGGCCGACTCCAGCTCTAGCACGGAGCCATCCCGACACCTCCCCATCAAAGGAAGAAAGAGGGGGCGCTTCCCTTGGCACACCTTACCTGGGACTCGTACTTGAGCCTGCGACTGACCTCCTCCCGGAAGCCGGACAGGTTGGCGGGGCCCTCCCCGCAGGGGAACCTGGCCAGGATCTCCGAGGCGTGGTCCCGCGGGAAGCCCTCTCCCCCCGCTGTGAGTGAGGAGGGGTCCACGAACTCGCTGAGGGCGCACACGTAGGCCTCCCCGCGCAGCAGGGAGATGACGGACCAGGTGATGGGGGCCACGGCCGCGCGGCCCAGGATGGAGCTCAGGAGGAGGAAGGTGGGGGCCGCCGAACAGTTCTTGGTCCTCCGGTACTGGCACTCGGTAACCAGGTTCCAGGTGTGGTTGTTGAGGATGACGCCGATGATGAAGAGGGCGAGGGCGGGCACCCCGATGGCCGTCAGCCCGTACAGGTAGTTTCTGGCTGGGGAGCAGGGGCAGTGGAAAGCCACCACAGAGAACAGCTCCTGGCTGCCCACTGTGCCCAGGGCCACCAGCCCGTTGAAGATCATCACGTCCTTGCTCTTGAAGAAAAGCGACAGGAAGCGGAAGTTCTCGGCGATCAGGGCTGCCATGGTGAGAGGTCAGCTGGAGGACTGGCTGCAGGGGTGGAGGCAGGTGGTGACAGGGTCCGATGGTGCCTGGTGAGACTAGCAAAGAGAGCAGGCAGGTGGGCACCTGAAGACAGGGCACGGTCTCGTCATCTTATTCCCTAGAGTGGCCGGCCCGGTACTCCCTGCGGAAGAGCAGATCACTGATGAACGTTTGCCTCTGAAAATGGGGAGAGAAGAGATTCTGTGTGTTCAGGCTGGTGAGAAGGGAAGGAGACATGGGGAGCTCGAGGGCCTGGTGGGGATGATGGTAGCCACATTTCACTGAGCTCCTACTGTGTGTCAGGTGCGTTACAGCCCTCGCTGCCCGGCATCATGATCCACACTGAGCTGTCATATCCCTCATGTATAGAAGGTGGAGGCTCCTGCCAAAACCGGTTTGGCTCAGTGGTAGAGCATTGGCCTGCGGACTAAAAGGTCCCAGGTTCAATTCCAGTCAAGGGCATGTGCCTTGGTTGCAGGCACATCTCCGGTAGGGGGTGTGCAGGAGGCAGCTGGTTGATATCTCTCTCGCATCAATGTTTCTAGCTCTCTCTCTCCCTCTCTGTTAAAAAAAAAAAATCAATAAAATATATTAAAGAAGAAGAAGAAGAAGAAGAAGAAGAAGCAGCAGCAGCAGCTGTAGGCTCCTGAGGGTGAGTGGCTTAGCAGGGCCACATAAGTGTCTGAGACTACACCTCAGGTCTACCTGCCTCTGACACTGAGGTTGCTACTGCAAGATTCTCTTGAGGTAGGGATTAGGAATGGCCCTGTGGCCTTGGGGAATATGGAACATTGACTGGCTTTCCCACTGGGATTTCAGGCTGAGGGACTAGGACTGTTTGGAGGGTGTGTCCTCAAAGGGGTATAAAGGCTGGGGTGGGTTGTCCTGGTGGATAAGGGACTTGGACTTGACCCTGTGATGTGGGGCAGGTGGAGGAAGGAGGTGAGTCTGGTTCAGCATCCCTTGGAGACCTCAGGCTCCGGACTGGTGTGGGACATCCTGACTGAGCACCCTTCCTGCCTTTCCTCTGGGCCTCAGCGTCCTCACCCATGAAAAGAGCCTAACTCATTCTGGGCCTTGTCTCTGAGGAATGCTGGAGGGAGGAAAGGCACACACCATGCCTGCTGCTGTTTCTAGGACACTGTCCCTCCATCTCTCTCACCGGGCTGAGCCTTCAGGGTGAGGCAGGGTGGGATGGTTCTCCTTCCTGCAAAGATCAGGAAACTCAGGTCTAAAGAGAACAAAATATCTTGCTTGGGGTCATTCAAATATGCATCATTTGATAAGTAATGTGCAGGTGAGCCCTAGCCAGTTTGGCTCAGTGGATAGAGCATCTGCCTGCGGACTGAAGGGTTCCAGGTTTGATTCTGGTCAAGGGCATGTATCTTGGCTGCGGGCACATCCTCAGTAGGGAGTGTGCAGGAGGCAGCTGATCGATGTTTCTCTCTCATCGATGTTTTTCTCTCTCTATCCCTCTCCCTTCCTCTCTGTAAAAAAATCAATAACATATATTTTTTAAAAACAAACAACAACAACAAAAAGCACAAATGTGCAGGTGCTCAGGCAGGACTTTTGACCACAAGCTCAGGAGGCCTAAAAATAAACCAGGGTGAGTCAAGCTAAGGGAGTCCTCCATTGCTCTGTGCCCATCTACGAGAGTCCTGGTAAACCTCCCCTTCCTCACCCTCTGCCCGCTCCTCATCCAGCAGCCTCTCCGGCAGCCCTCTTCCACCAGGGCCTGGACGCAGGGACCACACAGCTGCCAGCGACAGGAAGCCTCGGTGAAGGCTGAGGCTCGGCTGTGCCCACAGTGGCTCTGCCTTGGTCTGTGCTGCAGCCGCGCTGGCAGCCTGCCAGGAAATGGTCGTGGCCTAGGCCCCGGGCTGGTTCCGCCCCGGCTGCCTCTCACCCACACAAGCCAGAAACAAGCCAGGGTGTGGCCGGTCCCGTGTGTTCCTCTCCTCATCCCTGGGGTGAAAAAAAACCCATAGGCCGGGGAAGAGAGGGATGGGGAGGGGGTAGATGTGGAAGAGGGCTTAGAAGGGATACATGGTGATGGGAAAGATAAAATAAAAAATTTAACAATTCCGTAGGCCAGAGGAAGCCAGGGAGGGAGTAGGGGGCTGGTGTGGGCAGCTCACTCATGTGAGGAGACTTGACCATATTTCCCGCTCTGCCTCCTCTCTGCCCAGGTTGCCAGGAGGGCAGGGCGGAGCTGGCTGACCGTGTGTGGGATGCCAGGAGATGGAGGCAGAGGGGGATCCAACTCACAGCCCCGGGGCTCCAGTCTAGCTCCCTGGAAAAGGGAGTAGTATTGCTGGGGAGGAATGGGTTAAAAGCAGCCCCTTCTCCCTCTTCCCTGGCCCCCCTGCCTCCCCACTTGGTTTCAAGGTTCCTAATGAGCTCTCTGTGGGAGGCCCTGGGTTTATAAACTACAAAGTGGGGTATGAGATGCCTGAACACGGAGACCAGGCCAGCTTCTGAGACTACTGTCCCCTTCCCCCTGCGCTGGGAGTGAGACCTCCAGCAACAGTCAGGGCAGGAGTCACGTGGCTGGGGGAGGGACTGGACTGCCCCTGCCCAGAGTTAGGGGTGGGGATGCCTCAGCGAGGGGCCTCTCTCCAGGGCAATCCCTCTGGATTGGCCCTGCCCTGCTCCATCACCGGCACACCCCAGGGAGGGGACCTTCCTTACCTGGGACCAGGGACGGCAGACGGGCGCGGGTGCGGCAGAGTGGCTTTGGCCTCCTTGTGGCTGGGCTCTGAGTGGCGCTCAGACAGGGGAGCGTGGGGCCTGCTGGGGTGGGGACGCTGCTCCACCGAAGTGCCTTCTGTTGGCCATGCCCTCCGAGAACTCCCTCCCGCTTTCTTCTGCGCGGCCGGGGGAGTCCTCAGGAAAGTTAAACTCCCAAAAGAGGAGGAAACAGCGGGATGGAGCTTGCGCGCCAGTGAGTGGAAAATATCCCCGAGCCGGGCCGAGGAGGGCGGGCAGCAGAGGGCGGCGCGAGAGGAGAGGAAGTTGGGGCGCCTGTTGAGCAGCTCTTGGCCCGCGGCCTGTGCCTGGCTCTGCCTGCGCCTGGCTCTGCCTGCGCCTGGCTCTGCCTGCGCCTGGCTCTGCCTGCCTTCCCGAAGAGAGCTGCTGCCTGCCCGGAGCCCACCGGGCTGTGCCCCACACCAGTGGGACTGGTTCAGGGGCCAGGCAGGGGCCTGTGGGAGAACTGGCCTGGACCTGCCTTCCCAGCCAATTACCAGAGCAGCCGCTATGCTTGACATCCCGCCCCCGGCTCTGGCTAGACAGAAGCTGCTGGGACAAAACCTGGGCAGGGTTAGGGGAGAGATGCCATCAGACTGAAGCTGACCCATCGCAGGACATGCAAGGCTAGGCCTACCCCCTGGCCCCTGCCCTCTGCCCCCTGCCCCCAGCCTCTACCCCATCGCCACCCCTCTTCTGGCCCTTCTCCTTCAGCCACTGCCAGGAAAAATCCAGACTCCAGCTAACTCCTCAATCTCAGAGGACTGGTGATTGAATTCCGGAGTCTAGGGATTCCGTGAGGCCCTGTGGGCAGAGCTCTGACTGGTTGGTGGAAATTACAAGGAGGCGGGTTCTTAAGGAAGGCCTCTATAATGATCAGATCTGTCCAGACTGCCAAAAAGTGGTCCCAGGTTTGATTCCCCCCGTCTGTGGAGTGAGCCCCCCATCTGTGGAGTGTGCATGCTAAGGCTGAGAAGCCACGGGTCAGGAATTCTGCAGAGGAGAGAGTCTTGTCCAAGGACAGGCTGGATGACTCCTAGGACCAAGGGAAAGACCCCCCAGCTCTGTAATGCGTGTGGTTCTGTCCCAGTGGAACTGCTGGGTGACATGCTGGCCTCTGAGCTGGACTTGTCCGTGTGCAGGAGAGAAGGGCAAGGGACCAGTGTTTATTATTCGGATCCTACCACGTGCCAAGCACCGTTCCAGATTCTTCCTTCAACGTTATCTCCCGTTATCCTCACCATCAACCTGGAAAGCGCAGTTCTTTTAATGTCCATTCTACAGATGGACACACTGAGGCTCGGAGGGATTCGGTGACTTACCAGAGGTCCCACAGCCCTAGTATTTAAACCCACATCTGCCTGACCCAAAGCTTTACTCTTCACATTTTTACTCCCAATACCTCCTGGCTGGTTTTCCCATTGGAAGCTCCTCCTTTTCTCCCAATACACACCTGATCTTTACTCATCTGAATCCTCCCTCTCATTCAGGACTTAGATCAAGGCCCACATCCTGGAGGAGCCTAGAATTCTGCCCAGCTTGGCCTGCAGGGATGGCCCTCCTCCCAAATCATTAAAGGGAGGGAGACCAGGCTTCGAACATGGGACTAGAGAGAGGGGTGCCTACGGGAGAATGTACATTATTAAAACAACGTTGTAGGACTCAAGATCAAAATGAATTCTTAGCCCAGCCGATGTGGCTCAATGGTTGAGTGTCAACCTGTGAACCAGAGGATCATGGTTCCATTCCTGGTTAGGGCACATGCCCTGTTGTGGGCTCAATTCCTGGTAGGGGGTGTGCAGCAAGTAGCCGATGGATAATCTCTCTCATCATTAATGTTTTTATTTCTCTCTTCCTCTCTGAAATCAATACTAAATATGTATTTAAAATATGAACTCTTAGATGAGTAGTACTTGCATCTTTTAAAAAATATATATTTCGGGAGGGCCTGTTTACTCTGGTGGGTTCTGTTTAACTCTGTCTGTCTGGCCTTTTTGCTAGAGACCAGATACGAAAATAAAAGACCATTTAACTAAAATATATATATATATATATATATATATATATTTCTTTATTGATTTCAGAGAGGAAGGGAGAGGGAGAGATAGAAATATCAATGATGTGAGAGAATCATTGATTGGCTGCCTCCTGCATGCCTCCTACTGGGGATTAAGCCTGCAACCCAGGCATGTGTCCGTGTCTGGAATCAAACCCAGGACCCTTCAGTCTACAGGCCAACACTCTGTCTACTGAGTTAAACCTGCTAGGGCAGGACTTGCATCTTAAAGATAGGTGAGAGGACAAGAAGCCCATCTTCTTGGCCCTGTTTCCTCCTCTTTAACAAAGATGGCTCCGGTTCCTATGTCCCTCCTCTCCTGTCCAGGGGAACGAGAAGGTTAAGCCTGCAGGTTCAGAAATCAACAAACATGTCAGCCACACACACCGAGTGTCTACCATATACCATGTCCTTCATACACTTCACTCATTTAATGCTCACAACCATCTCATGAGGTAGGTGCCCTCATCTCCATAGGAGGAAACTGAGGCACAGAAATGAAGCAACCGGCCAAGGGACACAGTTTGTAAGTGGCATCTAACCCAGTTCTGTCTCACTCCAGACTCTTGAGCTCTTTCCACTCTAGGCAGTCCCTTTCCACCCCTGTGCCCTCAATCTCACCTCGGGGCAGCACCTCGAGCACTCTAGAGCCTCCAGCCAGGAGGTGGGACCTTTGAGAAAATGGGAAGCTCAGCTTCTGGGTCCAACATTCCCAGCCCTGCGGATGGTGCGATTTCCCCTGGATGTGAGGGAGGTGTTAGGTTAGTCAGTGAGAGGACCTTCACCATGAGAGGTACTTTGGTCTGCATGGGCCCCTCCGGAATTCATATGTTGAGCCTCCCAAAGGATTTTATTGGGAGTGGGGATTTTGTGGAGCCCTCACAAATGGGATTAGTACATTTCTAAAAGAGGCTCCAGAGCGACCCCTAGCCCCTTCTGCTGAGTGAGGACAGCGAGAAGGCACTGACTACGAATCAGGAAGAGAGCCTTCACCGGAACGGGACTGTGCAAGCACACGGACTTGGCTTCCAGCCTCCAGAACTGAGAAATAAACGTCCTTTGTGTGCACAACCTACCCAGTCTGTGGCATTTTGTTATTGCAGCCCAAATGGACCAAGACAGGAGGCCTTTGGTGTTACATAGACATGCGATTCACCATGACAATTGTCGCGTGACCTCCAGGTGACCCTACACCCTGGCTTCTTCCTAATGGACCTTAGCTCCTGGCATCTTTTGTGCCACGCCAGGTGAGGGTGAGAGTCATGTCCTATTGGCCCACCTTGGCCTTGTCAGCCTCACTCAGGAGACCGACCAAGAATCGGAGGACTGCTGCTTCATGAGACGTCAGGATGCCCACTCACTTCCTGAGCCTTGAGCGTAAGGGAACAAAGATCCTCAAAAGTCACAGACACGTGTGGATGCCGGGGCAAGGGTGTCCGTAGAACCTGAGTGCAGATCATGAACCAGACATAAAGTGGCCTGGGGGAGTGGGAGCTTGTCCCCTTCAAGCCAGTTTGGAACCTTTGCCTAACACTGCTTGTGGCTCCACTGTCCGCTTCTCCGGGGCCATCTAGGGCGTGTGACAGCTGGAGGAGCGAGGTCCCCTTCTAACTCCAAACTTCCAGCCTCCAATGGGCAGGTGAATGCCTGGACACGTGGGTCTGCTCCAGGGGCCCACCACCCAGCACCTGCAGCCTTCATTTCTCCATCTGGTTTGGGGTCAGAGCGGCCGTGAGCTCAGACCCCCGTTCCTGCCTCTTCATCTGGCCACAGCTCACACTTTGCTGAAGTAGGTGGCCACCTCTTTGCGTGGGAGCCGGGGCCCACCCCCTGGCCAACCATTGCCCATCAGGGGCTCCTCCTGGCCCAGCTTCAGGGGCGGCTTGCATTTGTGCCAGCTTGTGAGCAGCCTGTTCACGGCACCTTGGTCGGTGATGCCTCGAAGCTTCTCCCTCTCTTCCTTGGCATTGTCCGTGGCAGCTGGGGCATCTGAGCTAGCAGGGGCCATGGCCAGCGCCCCGTGGGTGTGACCCAGCTCCAGGTCATGGTTCATGGCCTCGAAGAACTGCTGGATACAGACCTTGGCAAAGGCCTTGGCATGCTCTGTGCACGTCTCATCGAAGAGCTTGCGCTCAATGTCGATGTAGTGGGACCAGTACTTGCTTTTGAGGAAGGCGGCCTGTGTGAAGCAGGGTCGCACGGAGCGCACGACAAATGCCAGCAGCGTGGTCAGCAGCACGAAGGACCAGCCCAAGGCCTGCATGGGAGAGAAGAAAGAGTCAATGGGCATTGCCCTCTGGCCTCCCAAGTCTGTCTGCAAACCCCCACCCCCACCCCCATACCACTCTCTATGTCAGGCCCTTTAGTGAAAAGAGCACCAACTGGGCAAGTGACTTCACCTCTTGGCCTCCATTTACATGACTGTAAAATAGGCATACCTATACCCATTTCATGAAAATCAGGTCATGTGAGGAATATACCCCATGTCTAGGCCTGGCACTCAACAGGCAGGAGTTAACTAGGCAGACTCTGGAGTTAGGCTGCCTTGGGTTTGGATCCTGTCTCCACTACTTACTAGTTGACCAGGAGTAAGCTGACTTCTCTGTGTACAAGTTTCTCTCTCCCTTGTAGGGCAGGCTCAGCCCCAGCCCCAGCCCCAGCCCCAGCCCCTTTCCTGACAGCCGCTGGTCCACGGGCTGCCCTCCCCACAATGCGCTGCCTGCAGGGGAGGCCTGAGGGCTCCACAGGTGAGCGCCCAGAGGGGCAGAGGACTGGAGCTCTGGATTTCCTCAGTGGGCCCTCCAACCCTGCCTTCAGGGCACACCCCCACAGTGCCTCCCCCTCCCCAAGGGGCTCCGGACCCTCAGCTCCCACTCCCCAACCAGGGAGACACCGGCTGGGAGCATTTGCCAGGGAAATGTACCCAAATGGCTCAGCCACTCACCAGCCTCACCACGGTCCCAGCCTGGGGGAGGAAAAGGATGCAAATTCCCCCAGGCTTCCAAGCGGGAGCTCAGGATGGAGGCTATGGAGCTGGCTGTGCCCTTGGGTCTGCTCTGGGGACCTCAGGGCAGGACACAGGCCTCTGGACTGAAAGTAGTCGCAGCACTTTCCCCAGGTGGCCCGGATCTGAAGAGACACGTGGCCTTCGGAAGCCCCTGCCTCTGTTGGGAACATATACCCTGCGGGGGCCCTGTCTGTTAGAAGGCATGGCTGTTCCTGAGAGATCCCCGCTTTGAGAGGTGGGGGTGAGGGAATTGAGCCCTTGTGCAGAGAGACCCAGGTCTGTGCAGGGAGCCCCAGCTCAGGCCGCCGTCCCCCTCACCTGGGAGATGCAGCGCAGGTAGCGCACGGCCACCTCCCGGGCCAGCAGCCAGTCGCCGTCGTAGATCTCGGGGCAGGGCACCCGGGCCAGCAGGCGGGCGAGCTCCGGCGGGGTGAGGCTGGGTGCCAGGCTGCTGTTGCCCAGCACGGTCACGGGCACGGCGGTGCAGAAGGCGCAGAGGAAGCACTTGCCATCCAGCAGCGTGACGGCCACCCAGACCACGGGCGCGA